ACAATAAGTCACTCTTAGTTGTACCATTTTTCACTTTTGTATATATATGGGTTCATACTTAGAATACACAAAATGCGCCACCGAAGAGCAAACAAACAAAACGAACAAAAGATGGGGAAGTGAGATTCTTTCCGTCGAATGTATAATTGTACAAGTAAGCTTTCTGAAAATGTGAACATCAATTCAAACGGCCGCCTTGCAATACATTGGCGAAATTGAGTGGTGACCTATGTTGCTCAAGCTCCGCCAAAGTTAGCGAATTATTCGTCAGATTTCGAACGCTAACAGGTGTTTAAGGCAATCATTACTAAGTTGTGCCGATGGGTTGAGCACGCATTTTCATCAAGCAATGATGCCAGCAACATGGTGATTTTCCCTTCCGACTACCTGATCCTTTCCCCACTTTTACTCTCATTGTCTAGCCGAATGGCTGGAACGAGAATTCCAGTTACGCGGTGCATCTAATGTCCACCGGTGAGCTCGTTTCCATCTCCTTGCGGGGACCGCGCTCACGCACACAAACAGTGCGTTTGTCGGCCAATCTGGTCAGTCACGTGCGACCAGTTTGTGTGGTCAGTCCGAGTGGGCCTGCGGATCCAGTATTTGGCGCGAAACGCTCATTTGGTTCTGGTCTTCCTGGTGAAGAAGACACGTCTTGTCCGATTAAGCGCTCGGCTGACGAGTCTACCAGTGCAAAAACATCAACAGCAGCACTAGTCCCGGGGGACCCGATTTCAGGGCGGATCTCTATGGCCCTCGTTGACGGAATGTTGGTCTCGCGAGACGGTTTGTTTTTGTTTTTCTCTCTTGCCCTATTTGGTGTTCTCAGGTGCCGAACAAAAAAGCATTTGCATACCCTCCCGTCGTAATTCAGTATATTCTATTTCGCCATCATGAAAACAATTTATTGTCTGAAGTGCTTTACTGGATTTTTGCCATCTCAAGTACAGTCGTATTTTTTATGTGATACACAAGCTGAATGTTTCCGTTCTCCAAACTTTTCATTCGAGGGATTTGATCTATTTCCGCATATGATTTGTAGGAAAATATTGGCTAACCGATCCACAAGAACCTACCATACCGGGTTCGGGCGGACGACCTCTAATTCGTACGCTGCGTCCACCCACACCACCGTGCTCGTCCGGCTCAGTGC